CAGTTACAAATTTTAATATTTTCTGATAATAACATGTTATTTGAATGCACTTTTGTAATTATGCTTATAAAATAAGTACGCCTTTTTGTAGATATATGGTCTGAGGTTTCGGTGATTATTTAATTGGACCTTTCCAAAAGTTGTTTAATCGACAGTCGCCGCCCTTGAAATTTATGTATAGATAAGCATATCATATAATCAATGGAAAGGAAACAACTCAATGTCCTAGAGCTTCCGTAATTTACTTTGTATATGGGCTCTTGCTTAAAAAAAAACAATAAAAATGTTGTCAACCCTATTATAAAAATACGTATGACCTTTTACCTACATTAATTGTTATTACGTTTAACGGTAAAGTCTGTTTAGCCAGCAACACCGTTCCTTTGTTTTTCGGTTATTTTATTTTTCAGTTTGAACGCAGCAAAATACAGCTGTGGTACATGACACTGGCTTAATATTAAGTTCTAATTACTATTTGCTAAAGGTCAAATATTTAAATTGCGTAATAATTTCATTAATAATTAGTCGGACTTGTTTAAGATAGTGGTTTATTCAAGTTGCGTAATCGTTTTTACATCTAGAACATTTGAGTATATTGAATTTAAATGTCGTTTATAATAAATTATTCATATATACCTTGCCCGACGAAATTCACCTTAAAAACATTGGTCGAAGCTTAAGGTGGTTTAGTCGCGCGCTCACTCGACAACTATACGTGTTCTTATCGAGTCGTGGAAATATTATTATTTTAAACATTAACGATGAGTGATAAAGAAGTGGTTAGTGCGGTTAAAAATAAAAGGACAACACATAAAAAAGAAGAAGAAGTGACGTGTTGGAATTGTTTCTCAACAGAAGATGATTGCGACGTCGAACCTATACCGTTAAAAAAAATAAGGGAGGAACAGAGAGAGAAATTCAAACTGTACTCTTTTTTGGCGTCTGAATTATCAAAACCGAAAGCGGTATCTCTAAAACAAAAAGTGAGTGAACATTATATTGTTGGTAAAAAGTTAGATGAAAGAATTTGTCAAAATGTTGAAGTATCTCAGTACTTACAAAATAATTCTGAATTACAAGCAGCTAGTGGCCAGCGTTTGTCTAGAAAATTAGTATCGACTACTTCACAAACGTCTCCAAAAGTAACAGACAAATTAATACCGGGTGTACGTAGAAAAGTGGATAAATCAACTGAAACAGATATTAATATAACGATAGTAAAATTAACTAGATCAGATAGTTCGTCTTCTAGTAGTACTACGCCAGATTTTAGACCTAGACGAAAACTATTACCTAAACCAAGTACTAATTCTCCAAAACTAGATGACACAAAGGTAACGAAAAGCGATGCATCGATTCCGTCTTCGTGTACTACGATAGAGTTAGAAGCAAGTAAATCATTGACCACAGATATTGTAGATTCTAAAATAAAATTGCCCGATCATTTATCAAAAACTATTGAACCGATTCCTCAAAGAAAAAGCACCCGACTATTTGCTGAGTCTGAACATACTGAAAATAAATCACAAAAGATTGGCCTTGATAAAACGATAAGTAAAGTTGATACTACTGATGCAAGCAAAAACACATCACGTGTGTCTGAAACCCGAACCTTAAAAACGCCTGAACAAAAGCGCAGTGAATTATTATCATTAGGGAAGAAACTCGTGAAACCATCTACACCAGATAGCCGTAGTAAATTAGATAGTACTCCATCTACAAGTTCAGAACATGCTGCTAAAAGAGCAACATCTACCGAATCATTAAAGGAAAAAACCTTGTCGTTGAAACAAAGGTTACGGGAACGTTATTCACTAGATAAAACACCTAAAAAATCTTCATCAACAGACGACACTAAGAAACCACAAGATGAAGTTTCGCCACCCACGGGACATTCTAAATCAGTTGGATCCTTGTCACTTAAAAAGATACTAAATGAACACTACACCATTGATAAAGAAATTGACGAAACAATAGCTAAATATGCAGATTTGACTAAGTCAAAATCAAAGCAGACAGAAACTAAGCAAGACATCATTTGGTCACAATTAGGTTCGCCAATAGGGCGGCCGCGCTCTTCAAACAATGAAAAGGATAATAAAGATGAATTATCTACTCGTTTAAAAGCAGTAAGTAAAACAAAACTATCATTACATAGTAGTGATTCAGATCAAGATGAATCATTATCTAATGAAGATATTGATAAATTTAGTGACACTTTTCATGAACAAATAAAAACATCAACACCAAAAGTTGCAAGCAAAGTATCTTCTGAGATTGGAGGTAAGGTTTTTGAGTCTGTTGATAAAGACATCGATGAAATGATTTCAAAATGTGCAGTTTTATCGATTTCAGACAAAAACGAAAGTAACGATAGTGACAAAGTTTCTATTCCTAATGTTAACACATCCATTAAATCACTGGAAAGAAATACAGTAGAGAAAATTACTTATCCAGTGTCAAGAATTCCAATAAAACAACCTTCACCAGTTACCATTAGAAAAGATAGCTTGGTTTTATCAAGAATAAGCAAACTTCAACCTGAGGTACCAAGTAAGGAACATGTTTCTAGTGAATCTGTGCCGTTAAAAAGGACATCTCCGTTGATTAAAAAACGTGAACCCGATTTTGGGAAACCTAAAAACGAGTCATTGCTTTTTGCGCAAAAATTATTATATCCAGAAAATAAAGAAAACGCTGTAGTGCACTCAGAAAAGACAGATAACACTAGTTCTAATGGCTCTGAATCCGGATATGCAGGTTCTTCAGCGACAGCACAAGATATTCAGGAAATGGAAGCTGTCAATAGAGAACTTGAATACAACATTCAAAATAAAAAAGATCCAAGCAAAGCCGATACTCCTGATAACATTTTGAGACGTCAAACCTTTAAATCGTCTTTGCCTGTTTTAAATAGAATAGTCGAAAAACGAATTTTAAAAACTACAACCACATCAAGATCACTGAGTACGGATATCAACAATGCTGGTACCAAAGCACAATCGCAACAAAAGCGGTGGAGTACATTATCCACTCCTCCAAAAACCATATCATTACAAGGTAATTTTTAAAATATATTTTTGTCATTAAAATAAATCTGTATTTGTTCAAATTAAAGGTGATATCACCAGATTGATGCACACTCAGTAGTCTCGTAATAGACTGTTTTAATTGCTCGCTAACATTATTAACTTTGGCCTCATGGCACGTTCCGTTGTTCACTGTAGTTGTTCTTGTATCGCAATACGAGTCACTACAGGAAACAAGCGCAGTAGACAGGACGCGATAAAATGTGGATTTTGTATTTTATTTACATAAACTCACTTAATTTGTTCCAATTCAGTTGTGTTGTGTACAAACGAGAGTATTTAAAATGGCTACTCTAATTAGCCACAAAACTGAATCTGACTCTTTATCACCCGAAACTCATAAACCAAAATATAAATCAGTGATTGTTCGCTACCAATACGAACCAGTTAATATTTACGATATTCAATCTGAACCTCGCGAAACAAATAAATTTACCTCAATGATGAGTGTGTGTTTTCAAAAGTTGTGTTGTTGTCGAAGTCTGCCTGAAGACGATCACGATTCCCCTATCGGAGATCCTAATTCTTCGTTAGTAGGCCCAATACGGAAGAGTTACACTTTAAACAATCAATGTAGAACGACTCTACAATCAGCGCCGACTATAATATTAAGCAGACCTCTTGACGATGAATCATCGACCTCTACGTTATCAAAACCAGATTCAATTACATCTAGTGCTACTAAAATAGTTGACAACGAATCAGTAAAATCAACCACCGTACTTCTAAGGGCTGAGCGTAAGGAATGTTCCAGTAGTGAAACTGAAGTAAAAGAATCTGATCCAAAAGAAATAGAAGCATCGAGCCGTGGAAGCACCTTAAGATCTGGTGAGATAATGTCCTTCATACGTGACGTTCTGTCGTGTCGGGACACATTCCTGAAGTCTATGGAGTGGTTCGACAACTCACTGACTAGGGGGAAAAGATGTCGCCCAGTCAAAACGGACGAGTGGCTTGAATTGCAGAACGAGGGTACCAGTGCCTTGCGACATTACTGCGCACGCACCGATCCTCTACTTCACTTAACAATACTTTTAATATTTAAAACCTTGTTGTCCTTTAAACGGCGCACCGCTAAAACCTTTCTCTGCTAAGCACAATTGCACCCAATTTAAAAAAATAACACTTTAATTGATTTAATTTGCAAATTATTCAATCCTAATCGGCACAGAATATACTTAATTATTAGCAATTCAAAGTTAATTTAATACAAATTTATATATGTTACTTCTAAAAATAGATATTGCGTACTTTATAATTTATGATAGCACTTTGTCAAATTGTACCTATTGATTGCATTGTGTAATCGTGCATATAATATCTTTAAATAGTTTTATTATAGTCTTAGCAAATATATTTTTGTTACTTATGAAATATACAAATATATTTGAATCGGTCACCTTGAATGTTCACATTGGACATAACGATAGGTTGAAATAATTCAAGATATAAAAGATACCTACAGCATATTTTAATCAATATATTTATTTTTAATAAATAAAAGATTCTCGTCGTCTAAGAATCTGTAAATCTAAAGTGGATAATCTTGTAGATTCTTTTTTATTATTATAATATTATGTTTATCCCCGGTTTAGTATTAAAACCGATACTAGAATAATTATTACAAGAAGGAGCTAATCTGATAATTACATCTGTGATTCAGCAGATAAATAAGTTGTCACAATCCTGCGGCTTACCCTCCTTAAATTTAATAATAAACCTAAAACTTGTATTAAACTATCAGGTGAACTTTTCTTGAGTTCATAATTGTTGTAATTTATCCGATAATCATGTAGTTTTTTTACATAAAGTTAAATTATGTCGTACTCTGAGTGTTACCACTAATGAGTATAATGCCAAAACTATCCTATATTTTACAATATTCAATAAACGATGTTATCTTGTCTCCAGATGAGGTGTACCTGTCAGATAATGCGACACTGTCTT